TTAAGGGACACCATCTCTCCACCAGTGTCGTGATCAGGTTGTGATCCAACCTAATAAACTGCAAATGTCCGAGATTTTGGAATCCCAGGTTAGTTAAGACATAAATCATTCATGGGCATTCAATTGGTCATTCCCTAGCCATGCGAATATGAGTTGTGGCAACCAAAGAAGATGCCTGAAAATTTCAATTTTATTAAAATTAAAAAGATATTTAAGCATGACATAACTAATAAAAAATGACAGTAATTTATTTAACATACATGATCTTGGTCATCCGCTCTGTGGGAATCTCCAAGTCATGCTATACTAAGCTGCAATGGGACATTTTCTGCAGCAGTACGATGTGGTGTGCGTCGGCATGAACGAGCACGTCTAGATCGGTCGGCCATACCTATCCAAAATACAATCAATACAATTCATATTATTATAACTCTTAATTTTTTAGAAGCAAAATATTTTGACTAAATATAGATTACCTTGATGATGAAGGATTGTGTTGACAAGTTGATATATTGTGACCTATTTGTTTGCAAAAATCACAAGCTTTGTTTGACCTACTCGAGGGCTCATTGACGTGGTACGGAACCTATTCATTCGTGGTCGGCCTGCACGACGCCGAAAACTTGGTGCCATCAAAGAGATTAATCCCTGCTCTTCATTAAAGGTGGGCCATATGTCTTTCGGGGGAAAGACCTGGAATACTTTGGAGTACGTAGCAATGTACTCCTCAATCTTAAATATTGGTGATACAAAACCATTATGATCCCACCGCCTAGCTCCAGCTACTGTAACGACATGAACGCAAGGAACATGAAAAAGTCGTGGTTTCAAACAAGTGCACATACAGGAGGATGCATTGATTATCTCGACCTTGTTTGCTCGAGAAGATGTATCAATAACTTCAAATTCATTCCTGTTTATCATGACTGGTTCAGGATACCGTCGAGCATCACGTTCAGCTCTTTGTATGACAAGCATGATACGTGGAATGAACTTTATTAGTAAATTGCCATTATTAGTCCTTGAATAGGAAGTCCACGGGCACGTTTAAGCACCCCGTTTAAACATTCGGATGCGTTTATGTTCATAATACCATAACGACAGCCTTCATCGAATAATAGGGACCATTTAGCAACATCACGTTAGACCAACCAATCGAACGCCTCCTGCTTTGTCATTTTAATTTCATCCATCATTCGATTGAAATATGAATAATCATCAGTATTTCCGGCAAAATACATTTTGTTACTCAAACCCTCACTATCTGGAATTCCCAAACGACGGACCATCTTTTTAAAATTTTCATGTAAGTGACGAAGGCAATGCCTATGAACAGCATTAGGAAATACTTCCCTGCACCCGCGCACTAGTCCTGGGTGCTTATCAGAAAATATACACAACTTCACTCGATTAGCTACAGTTGGCAGAAGTTGTTGTAGCTTTTGTATGAACCAAATTCATAATTCATTGCTCTCCGATTCCATCACTGCAAAAGCTAGTGGAAACAATCCGCCATTTCCATCAATGCCTACAGCTGCCAAGAGGGTCCCTCGATACTTCCCAAGCAAGAATGTCCCATCCATGCTCAACACCAGTCTACAGTGTTGCCACCCATATATAGAAGGACCGAATGCCCAAAAAAGTGCCTTGAAGCGTGTGGGAGGTACGACATGAGTATTATATACAGTGCCTGGTTGAGATAACCTTAAAGCTTCTATAAAACAAAAAAGAGAATAATAAGATTGTTCGTAGCTATCAAAAGTGGCTTCAATAGCTTTTCTACATGCGTCTCATGCCTTCATATATGATATTTTAATGTCAAACTTTGACTCCATTCTAGCTATAATCTCCTTCGGCTTCATGTCTAGTTGTTGTCTAATTATAGGAATGATTTGTCTGCATATAAATTTTGAGGTGCAATTATGATGTCCACTAGCCAAAATGGGGTGGGTGCATGTATATGGATGTTCACATGTAGATATTTTCCATAACCCACATAGCCTTTACTTCGTGCAGCATGTAAGCGCCAAAGGCAGGGACGATCAGGATTCTCATGTTGAGCACAAATGACACTCAATCGGCTTTTGTTAGATGTTGAATTTAAAAATTGAATATTGTGTATTATCGACCAACCATTAACTGCGACTTACAAATCTACTTTTGTATGAAAGATCTGACCTTCATATAACTCTATTGGAGTAGTAGCTTCTATCGAGCCTACAATGTTAACACATGGTGCATCAAAATTTTCATCATCATCTCACTGTTAAGTTGTCCGAACAGTTTCGACAAAATCGTTATTGATGTTCATGCCATCAATTCCATCACGATTTTGTGTTGCGTGTTCTTCAATGAACACTTGCTCATTACATTCCGTATTGTTAAATTGTTGCATAGGTATGCGGGAGTCCAATATTGGGCTACCATCATTCGATGAATTAGTACTATCGCTATTCATCGTTTTATATCCTTCATCTTCATTTTGTGAATTACGCTCTATGCAAGGCACTGAGGGGTTAATATCTTCTGCTAGTGTATAATTAATTGTGTCGTAATATGAATGTTCCCCTACACTTTGTCTAGGTTGAACTCTTGGAAGCTGTCCTGTTGAATTACTAGGTTGCTCCCGTAAACTAGGACAACCATCTAAATCATTTTCAACATTTCTCGGAATATCTCTTACACTAGCCATAAAGGATTCAGATGTGTGAGTGGGCCTAATACATAAAAGTTAAGTTAGGTGTAAGGACAAGTTCAGTCAAACGTTCATGAAATACAATGGTTGATACTCACATGTAAGCTTCAACCAATGGTGCAGCAACCTCGATGGGTGAAATTTGCTCAACCTCCACATATACAACAACAGCTTGTGTTCTAGCCTCCATCAACATGTACTCACAGACCTCATCATCGGTGACATGAATCGCACAAAATCCACCATTATTTCGAAGACGACAAGTGAGGTTAATAGTGGTTGTTATTGAATTTATTCTAAGTGCACGCATAATTCTTCATTTTATCATTTCAAGTGAAATATTGTCATCGATAAAGGAGTGGTCTAATCCTCCCGCCAATATAACTTGGTGTGAATTCGCCCGAAATATGTAACTTTCCATCAAAATACAGCATCAATCGAGACATACTATCAAGATAAGAAAA